TAATAACCAACGTATAAAAGTTTGATAATTTTTTCTCGCATTTTATCTCACACATAGAGAGATACCGCTAAGCTGTGCCGAACCTATTTGACTATTTTTTATGGTATAAGGTTGACAAACAGGCAAATAGTCTACGTGATGGTAAGTAGATGCTGTGGCCCATAGACATCGACATCTATCCTCGAATAATATAATCAAAATATGTGTCACCTCTGTGGATTATGACCGAATAATTCACACCAGTAAAAGAGTCTCCGGTTCTCTAAATTCACCATACTAGCCAGCAGCATTAATATCTGTTATTTTACGCTGCTATTCTGGTTGAGCGTGGTCATTTTGGGTTACAATTATATTTTGTCTGCAGCTTGGCTTTCCCACGTAAAATAAGAACGTAAAAATTGTCTTACAACTACACAAACTTCTAGCATGTTTAAAAACTTCTAATCAACAAATAGAATAGAATCGAAGAGATAAGAATTTTTTTTAAATATTAATTATAAATAATTTCCTTTAAAAATAATTTTTACTATGACTTCTGTTCATAAAAACAACCTCTGTCCTGGAAAGAATCATCAAGAAACCCAGCGGCACTTTTTTCCAAGGTAACATAATACAATTTTTTATAGGATAAGGTTGACAAGCGAGCACACAGTCCACCTGATGGTAAGTGTTTGCTGTGGCACATAGACAACTACATCTATCCTCATTTGCGAATCAAAATGCAGATGCGTTGACTAAGATGGAATGTCTCTTTTCCAGTAAAAAGGGTCTCCGGTTCTCTACACTCACCATACGAAACACAGCAGCATTTAAGCTGCTATTTCACGCTGTTGTTTTGTGAGAGCGTGGTCCTTCCCCGATGGAGCCAACCCATTCGTGCTACAACTATACAATTCATATAGCTGCACCATAGCTCTACCACGTAAAAAATATACAGCTTAAACAATATTAAGCAGGTTCTACAAATATTTACAACACTCATATAAGAAACAGCTTGTGAGCGATCACCTCATCATTATAGAGGTATGATTAGTTCAACCATGTAGATTTCATATTAGGTCTCAAAAAATATGTGCTACACCTATTTCTCTCACAATGTGATCAAGATCAAGACGTTTGTAACATCTAACTAAGCGTAGAGCGGTAAAAAATAATTTCATCCCCTCATCATGACAGCCTATAAAAGTCCACTGCTGGACATGGACCTTGCCCACAGATTGCCACGTAGGAAGATAATTGCCAAAGTTGTGACCGATAGCAGGCCGGTTGTCAAGAAATGAGGCTAGATCACTCCTGGCATCTTTATCAGTTCGTAAAGTTTCATCTCAACCGGTTCAGTATTCCAAAGAATAGCTCGGACAGATGGACAGACGGAAAATCGTTATACCTAAGTACTTCAGGGGGTTGTTTGCATGGTATTAAGATATACGTAGTGCATATCTTAATAGCATGCGAATAAGCCACTGAGCTTCGTAGGAGCCTATTATTTCAGTATTATGGACTAAGCCCAATACTGTACTGCTGTTATGTACGGAGAGTGTAGAGAATCGGAGCACCTTTTTATTAGGCATTCCATCTTAGCTTTCAGGCGTGACAACGCATCGGCATTTTGATTCTTAACTGATAATAGACATACTTAGATGTGTATGGGATACAACATACACTTACCGTCAGGTGGACTGTGTGCACGTTTGTCAAACATATTCTACAAAAAAGGTATACGTACTCAGGGGTTGACATAAAAGAGTCCCTAACAAAACACGGAATGCGCGTGTGAAACTTTTTACTTTCCAGTGATTGTGGCGAGCAAAACCGTTGAATATACACCGTTAGCTACGAGTAAAAAAACGGATAAGCATGTAGTGCAGCGCAACAGCCAGTGGTTGGTCAATTACAGCGCGTACTAAAGGTCACCACGTAACGGCAGCGCGACGGCCTTGACCTTGACTGCAGACGTTGCCAGCACCCTCCCCGACGCAGCCGGCAGAAAGCATTTTTAGTGCCACCGAAAGGTTCATGCATACATGATAGCACAATACAGAAACGCAAACAGGTTTTGAACAGGAAGGAAAAAACAAGTCCTGTTCAGAAGTATTTTAGTTGCTTTTTAAAGCCCCGTTATCAGATGTGATCATATATTACGCATATTAAAATAATGTTTTTATTTTTATAGAATTTTATATTAAGATAATAAAAAATACTTTTTAGTAATGCTCCTTTTTAGCATAGAACCGAAAATAGTAAAGTTGTTACTACTCATAGTAATAACTTTTTACAGGCATCTAAAGAGGTGTCAGACAAGGCTGTGTAGCTTCCCCGTGGATGTTAAAACTATTTATGGACAGTGATGTGAAAACTGAAAGTTTTAACTAATTTTTAAATAAGTGTGTCAAACGAGCACGCAGTCCATCTGATAGCAAGTGGATGCGTATACATCTACATTTTCCCTCGATTAAGATTCAAAATCAAAAATATTAAACGTATGTAACCGCTAAGGAATAGGATGGAATGCCCCGTCTCCAGTAAAAAGGGTCTCCGGTTCTCCACATTCTCCACACGAAACACAGCAGCATTAAGGTGCTATTTTACGTTGATGTACTGTGGGAGCGTGGGCCTTCCCCAGTCAAGCCGACCCATTCGTGCTATAACCATGTTACAGATGCACCATGGTTCTACCACATAATGTTTTCCTAGGGGTCAACTGTAGATAGACGATAGTGACTATAAAGAATCATATTCATTCAAATAAGCAAACACGCAATAGTATTATACAATGTAGCAATGTTAATCGCACTAAGTTGGAAGTTGGAAGAATCTATCAATGAAGGCTAATTTAAAATGAATAATGTTCAAATCGAGCGAGTTCTTTGTATCAATAGTTTAACGATAGCACAATTCCACAAACGGACTCATTGTGAGCATGTTATTGATATCCATTACGTCGTCACCATACTAAATAAACAATCGGTTGGTTCCTGGATTATTCAAAACTATTCACAATAATTTATAGTGTGTTTGGAATTGAAGTCACGCCTTCCGTTCCAGGAACAGGTGCTACTAATTAATTCACCTCATTGCTGTCATCGTCGCCCGCAGTCATGATCTATTTTTCTATCTGTACATTGATCGCACTCGAGTGCTTATCGTAGGAATGACGACTACAATCATCACATTTAGGTCGGGTAGGACAATGGCTGGCACATGGATCACTCATCAAGTATCGTATTTGATCATTAAACTATCAAGTAGAAGACTTTAATGCTGTAATGTTTCGTATGGTGAGACTGGAGACCCTTATTACTGTAAATAAGGTATTCCATCTTAGTCCTCAAGAATAATAACGCATCTGAATTTTGATTTTAAATTAAAGATAGATCTAGATTTATTTGGCCACCATTTACCATCAGGTGGAAAGTGTACTCGTATGTCAACCATATTTTATTTTAAAAAAATCCCAAAAAAAAAAGGATACTTTATATACCTGCCTGCGCAGTTAATGCCGTCGTTTCTTCTTCAATCAGAGGAAACTCATTTTGAAATGTAATTGGTACCTAAATATGATATAAAATATGTTTATTTTTTCGACGATATAATATGCATATTTGTTAAGCTCAATACTCGTATATCTCTCATTACGCTCATAAATATAAATCAGTCGCAGGTCGCAAGTACTCGTAGATCTGGACTTATAAGCTCTATGTTTATGTTTATGGGACTTTCAAAGAAGATGTACCAACTATGTTTCTTAGCTAGCACTAGCATGTCGTAACAGAAGTCTAATGTGGTATTGGTTTTGTGATTGTGTAGTCGATGGACTAGCCACCTATCTCTTATTTTACAATTTTTCATTTACACATACGCAGATTTTTTGACTGAACCTGGTCCAAGTAACTCTATGCTCATTGGACCCTGGGTGATGACAGCTGTAACACTGTGAATCAGTGTTTAACCTTTAACAAGTTTCTTGTTCAGCCTTTTTAAGTCTACTGGTGAACATAAGCCTTTCAAAAATATTCCAATCGAAATCCCTTATGTAATATTTGCCCGTACTCACCGCGCTAGATAAATGAATTGGTCATTGCAAAGCCGATACCTTCGCATTGATAATACTGTCCCTCACTAGTAGTCGAATCAGTTTTTATCACCAGTGATCTTTTGGTCGCCGGAACATCGACTATTTCAGGTAAAGATAATTTAAAGGAAAGTGCTGATGTTGTTAGGTAGGAGTCCTTGACTCCCTAGCAGTTCGTCTGGGGGGTCTATCTTGCAGGTGCCACTCCAGCAGACAAAGAGCACGCTTGCGCTGCTGGTCCAGTCTGAAGGGAATAGAGAGCCAGTAAAATTACAGCTTGTAAAGTAAGTTTTTAGTCCTCAGAAATGACTACGTATCTTTTGCCTTGTTTGAAATTGGTTCTCATAATCATTAACACTCACACCTGTCACCCAGAAGGGTATGCAGAGATTTCGGACTTTCCTTTGGCACGATCTTGGCGCACATTTCTCGCCTCTTTTACATCCATAAACCTACGCAAAAAATAGAGGGTTACATATATCCATCCACCACAACACAAAACCCACAAAACACGACCCCCACCCCCCCCCCAAAACCCCCCACAGCGCAGCACACACCCACCCGAGACCAACCCCCCCCCCCCCCCCCCCCCCCCCCCCCCCCCCCCCCCCCCCCAGCCCCCCCCCCCCCCACACACACACACACACACACACATTCATACAGACATAGTTACATCCTAGTAAAAATAGTCAGAACGGCTTCCTAGGATCCCAAAACCTGGAGATCTGATGAGAACTCGATTTTCGAAAACCAGAGTGAAACCATTAACTGTAATAATTGATATGTAATAAATGAAAATCATTGATTTTCATAGCAGTAAGTTAAAAAAAATCTTAATAAACCGGTTTAAAATTTAATCGAAAAACAGTCAGTTAAAATACCGAAATCCACCCGCATTAATTTCATTTAGTTGGCTTCTGCGAGAGAGATGTTATCGGGCAGCACCTGGGCAGGAGGTTGCAGCAAGCCGCAGGCAAACGGCCGCTATATAAATCACAGTGGACGGACGGATGGACATAATGGAGCGTGCGCGATCGGTATGGGATCCGCGTGCGTCCATTACAATGGAGGCGTCGCGGAGGCGCATGGCAAGCGCGGCTTCGGGGAAGGAAGCTCCTCGGAACCGCACACCTGCGCGATCGCTACACGTGACGATCGCCTATCAGCCTCTAAATGAATGTTTATTGATGAATCATGATAGATTACACGATACTTCACGCACAAACCAATAGTTTCGAATGGGAAAGAATTGATTTATCACATACGTGTATCAATCTCTATTTGACTGCCTCATTGTTCTAGTGGTTGTATACGCGACTGTAATCATGAGCTCCTGGACTCGAATCCCGGGTCAGACCAAAAGTATTAGCTTTTTGTCCAGAAGTTGTTGATAGCGACCCGCAGTCGGGGAGATAGCGGTGTTTCACCCCCGTGCCTCGGTAAGCATGCAAATCCGTTGGTCATGCGCCTGATCATGTCGGCTTGCCGTGCCATAGGACTATGAGAGTGAGGGCACAATGACTGCACAAGAGCTTGCACACACTCTTGCGCACTATAAGCCTATCCCACGCAGATGGCTAGGCTCTGTTAAGACTGGCCGCCGTGACCAAAATTCGGCCTAGAGGACATATTATTATAATATTGTACCTGTTATAATATAATTAATATTAAATGTTTATTATATAAATATTATAAGCATTAAGTTTTTGTAAATAATTTGCAGTGCTCTTGTAGGACTCTTGTTTGTGACTTTTAACATTTTGGTAACACCTATGTAACAACAAGTAGATGCCAAAATAGTGATCGAGTTTTTAATTCATTCATTAGCTTGTTATGCTATCCGAATATATTGTTGTATTCGGAATATTTAAATAGCATTTTTGCATTATTACTGATTAATTATAATGGAATTTACCACTAGCTATTTCACCTTTTGTGCAATAATAAATAGATGAAAGCAAAATGGTTTATATGGATAAGCCCCTGACAACGGCTGATTAGCGTCGCGTCGTCAAGAGTATTCAAATCGTAGTGGCATCTCTCACTAATTAGTACAGCTTCTGGCACAAATTAGGCTGCTTGCATCTGCAAAAGTAGAACAAACGGGTAGACGTGGAGATATTCCCACTGCTCTGTGAACCGCCAAGATATAGTAATAGCTCTAGCAGCTTGCAGAGAGGGTCAGCGCAGTGGCAGTTGCAATACAAGTGGACTTCTAAATTAATAACAAAATTTCTACATAACATAACATAAACACTCACGCCTGTCACCCAGAGGGGTAGGCAGAGGCTACAGACTTCCATTTGGCACGATCCTGACACACCTCTCTCGCCTCCTTCACATCCATACACCTACGCATACATGCTCGTCGGTTAAGGGTACTCCTAATTTGGCCCGTTTTCAATAAATCGCCAATTTGGTCGATAAATTTTCGCCTAGGACGTCCCTTTCCGACTCTGCCATTCACTTCTGCAACATAAATTTTCTTTGTCACTCTTTCCTCATTCATTCTTTCCACATGACCAAACCACCGAAGCATTCCTTTCTTAATCCTGGTCACAACATCATCTTGCAAACCACACTCTTCTCTTATTACCCAATTTCTTACCCTGTCGTTCAGATTCAGCCCTAACATACTCCTTAAGGACCGCATTTCTACTGCGTTGATTCTACTCTCGTGCTTCTTTTGCCACACCCAACTTTCACTACCATACGTTAAAGTAGGGCCCAACACAGCATTGTAAATTGCCATACTTGCCTTTTTTGACACATTTTGACTCTTCACAATAGAGTGCAGGGCCCCATTTACTCTATTTCCCGCATTCACTCGTCGTTCTATATCCTTATCATATCTCCCATCCCTGCTAAATACGCAGCCCAAATATACAAACTCATCTACTTGCTCGATCAACTCCCCTTCTATTCTTATTTCACAAATCGTTTTACTTTTTTCTCTTTCAAAAACCATAACCTTCGTCTTACTTACGTTCACTTTCATACCCCTTTATTTTAATGATCTGTTCATTAACGTAACCATCATTTGCAACTCGGCCGCCGACGACGCAAGGATAACTTGATCATCGGCGTACAAAAGGCATTTGACGGTCAACTCACCCATTCTTAATCCGCATTCTTCAACTTTCAAATTTTGCAAACAGCTGTCCATAAATAGGTTGAACAGCCACGGGGCAGCCACACAGCCCTGTCTGACACCTTTATGGATGTCAAACCAGTCCGAGTAGACCCCGTTGATCCTAACACAAGCACTAGAGTCCCTATAAAGAGACTCCAATGCCCGTATCAAGCCAGTGCTCAACCCAAATGAGTTCAGTGTTTGCCATAGCACATCCCTATCCACTCTGTCATAGGCCTTTTCCAAGTCCATGAACGCACAAAAAACCTTTTGGTTTTTGGCCAAAAACTTCTCCGCGATCATGCGCATGGAAAAGACTTGATCTGTACATCCCATTCCCTTTCTGAATCCCGCTTGCACATCCCAAATTTTTCCATCAGTTTCTTTCATGACCCTTTCAATAAGTACCTTAGCGTACAGTTTTCCCACAATGCTAAGAAGGCTGATGCCACGGTAGTTTTTACAGTCCTGCTGCGACCCTTTTCCTTATATACTGGGACTATCACGGCTTTGCACCAGTCTACCGGTACCCGCTTCAGTTCCCAGCATAAATTAAACAAGCTGTGCAGCAGACCTGCCACGACTCCCTCTCCAGCCCTTAGCATTTCGAGTGCTTTTCATTGCTTTCATTATTTCATCTATACTTATCTCGCTACCTCTTTCCTCTTCTTTCGGAGTTTCTACTTCACTTAGTACACACGTTGTCTCCTCACTCATAAACACGTTTTCAAAATATTCCTTCCATCTCTTTAAACTCAAAACTTCATCTTTCAGAATATAGCCATTCTCGTCTCTTATAACATTCATCATAGGCTGTTTTGAATGTCCCCTCGCAGTTCTTACAAGTTTCCAGAACATTTTAATATTTGTCTGGAAGTTATTCGATATTCTTCTATCAATCTTATCCGTTCTTTCTTGTTTTTTTCTTTCAACTACTTATTTTACTCTCTTATTAAGATGTTTAAAGACTGCCTTTTTTCTTTCAATATCCTCATTCGTACCGCTAGAATTACCAGCCTTTGTTGCTAGTAAATCTAGCCATGCTCTCTTCTTTGCTTCAACTTCCATATCATTCTTTGCTTCATCATCCCTAATTTCTAATAATTGAAAATGAAATTTAAGATAGAATTAAGTGCCTATGAGCCACAGCATCCACTTACCATCAGGTGGACTGGAGAAAGCCGATCTGCTAGGCTCTTTCTTTGCGTCCAACTCGACTCTCGATAACGGGGGAAGCACATCACTGACCGTCCGCGCTTTGTGCCGTATGTTAGGTTCACACAGTGCGCGGTTCGCAAAGCACACCTCTCCCTGGACATCCACAAGTTGAGTGTGCCTGACGCAATCCCTCCAATTGTGCTGAGGACGTGTGTTCCAGAGTTGGCACCGGGTCTAACGCATCTTTTCCGGTACTCCTACTACCCAAGCGTATTCCCAAAATCATGTAAGACGGCTTTCGTCCACCTGATCCCTAAAAAAGGCGACCGCTCAGACCCGTCAAACTACCGGCCTATCGCCATCACCTCCTTGTTCTCCAAAATAATGGAATCCATTGTTAATATATTTCATTGCGGTACCTTGAGGTTCACCAGCCGATTAGTGGCTAATACGGTTTTCGTTGGGGTCGATCAGCTGTTGCTCTTCTGGTCTACCTGACTCATCGATGGGCGGAGGCAGGAGAGTCCAAGGGGGAGGCATTGGCCATTAGTTTGGACATTGCGAAAGCTTTCGATCGGGTTTGTCACAAAGCGCCTCTCTCGAAGCATCCTTCCTTCAAGGGTTCCCGAGAAATTGCGCAAATGGATCACCAGCTTTCCTGCAGATCAGAGCATCAAGATCGTTGCAGAAGGTGCATGCTCCGATTACATGCCTATTAATGCTGGTGTTCCATAAGGCTACGTGCTATCACCAAAACTGTTTCTTCTGCATATCAATGATAGTTTTGCGCGCCATAATTAATTCCTGGTACAAGGCGCGTACAAGAGCCGTGGTAGCTCAGATGGTTAACGCTCGCTGCAAATATAACAGAACGCGAGTAACCCGGGCTCGATCCCCACCGGCATCAATGAAATTGTTAATTGCAATTTTAAGTGCTGATTTAACACGTGCTCGGCGGTGAAGGAAACCTACATGTCTGAGGAATGAGGAAGGAAAAAAATATTTCGTAAACATGTGAAGTTCGCCAACACGCATTGGGGCAGCGCGGCGGACACTTCCTTGCCCTGAAACCTTCTCAGAAATTAGGGGAGGCCTGTGCTCAGCAGTTGGACGTATATAGGCTGTAACTTTACTTTACTTTACTTTACACGGCAGGTAATTTTAGCGCCATCTAGTATCAAGTAACAGAAAAGTAGCGTCTAGATCTTTCCTGAAAATTCACTAATGCCATCTAGTATGGATTAGCAGAACTATTATTATTATTATTGGGGCATCTATATAATTTTCTCACCTGGTTGGGTTCTATAAATACATAATTATAAATTAAAATGAAAAGATAAATATACATAAACATCAATAAAATAAAATAAACACAAAAACTACATAAATAAATAAGATCCAACCAGATGTGAGCCCTCGGCAGGGGAGACCAAACGGCCGAGGGTTAGGGGGAAAGGGAAAGAAACCGGCGGACGATGCGGGCGGTATCGAGGAGCACCGCCTTCTGGATTTGAGCCCGGAGCGGTCCGTCACGGAGTCCCAGTCGCCTCAGATGACCCGAGAGGCTGACTGGGATTAGCCCATTCGCAGAGACGACTACAGGAATAATTTCGGTCGGTAGGTAGACCACCCTACATGTCGGTCACCTCGTGAGCCAGGTCCAGATATTTTGTTCGTTTCTCTGTTTCGGCTTTCACGAGGTTCTCGTCATACGGAATGGTAATGTCGATCAAAAATATCCTTGACTGTGCCCGGTCCATCAGCACAATATCAGGCTTATTCGCAAGAATAGTCCTGTCTGTGATGATGGCCTGGTCCCAGTAGAGCTTGGCGCGGTCATTTTCGAGCACGGCTTCCGGCAATTACTTGTAATAAGGCAATTTTCG